GAAGGGCCAAAGTTGTTCTCATTCTCCCACTTGGCATTGCATGTACGAGTATCTTACAGATACTTGGCTTGGTTCTGCCCTGGGTTCTGCAGCTCCGCTCCAGCGCGTTCTGCCATATGCAAATTAAAATTAAAAGCCTTTTTGTACTGCTTAACTCTATTTCTGCCTGCCCTCCATCCCAGCAGCCACTCGAGGAGGATCTGGAGTTGGTCATGGACTTGGACTTGGTCTTGCACTTGGACTGGGTCTTGGTCTTCGTCTTCCAGTTGCTCTTCGACTTGCCTTGGACTTGCGGACTTGGTATTGGACTTGGCTTGAGGTCTGCGGCTGGTCTCGTCTCTTGCCTATGACTTTACAATTTGTTTGGCCTGCTGCGGCCGCCGATAGGCCCTCTGAAGTGTGAAACATTGCTTTGCACAAATGTACAGCGAGAGAAATGTGGGAATAATATTTCTCATCGCCTTTAAAACTTTGTGTGGTAACCAACTCCAAAAAAGAATTACATTTTGTTAGTACAAAATCAAAGGAATTGAACTTCATTACAGGTATGTATGATAACAAAACGTTGGACACGAAAAAATTCAAGCACAATATTACCTACGTTTTTAAGAAATTATCAAAAATATATATTCTCAAAAAACACGAAGAGTTGCCTTTTTACAATAGCTCAATATCAAAATATGTATCTCTTTAAACGTTGCATCTTTTAAATAAGCATCTGAAAAAATGGACAAATATAAACTTTACAATCAATTGATTTAATGAATTAAGTCATTCCAATACCTTTAAAAATCAAGAAGTATGTATTATACTTAAAAAGAAACTTGATTTAAGTGCTATTATTTTACAATAAGAAAAAATATTTGATATCATTTACAAAAAAACAATTGTTAAGAAACCAAATGTTATGTTCCGGATCTCATTTTTGTTTTAAGTAACATTCTTTCCGAACAGGATATTTTATTCCACGAATCCAGGAACATCATTTGATCTCATTTCTTTCCCATAAGTTAGTTACTTAATCTTGTTAATAAATCTTATTTATTGATCATCTCTGCTGTTTTCTTCCCGTGTAACCACACAAATGAAGATTCAGACACACAGATACAACTCAGCACAAAATGACTGCGGACGAGGCTTCGTCTTCGTCTTGGCTTGTCATTCCAGCCCTCCCCCGCCTCCCTCCTACCAACAATAACACCAACAACAATAATATCAAAAACAAAAACAACAATAACTATAACAACAACAAATTCCGCTGGCCAACTCTGACTTCATTGGTTTGTCTTGGCGCTCTGAACTGCGCTGAACTTCTTGAAGCGGAAGTTCAAGGCGTTCACTCAATTGTATCGTGTAATGAAATGTTTTATAACACCACAGCAGACACCAAAACACCAGCCGGCTCTTTTGGCCGGTCTCTGATCTTGGCCTTCTTGAGACTTGAGACTTGAGATTCTATCAATACAGCATTTCATTTCTCTGTGGGTCATTGGCTTCTGCCATTCGCCCTTAATCGTCAGCGATTTGATGCCTCATTAGCATTAATATATGTAATATTTATGCAAATATTTACTCACACATCCAGCACTACACGCAACTTCTGTTTCTGCTGGCTCGTTCACATCATTTGTCATAGGAAAACCAATCAGTTTATAGCAGCTAATTATGCACCAATAATTAAACTGAAGCAGAAAATCTAGGGGAATCAAAAAAGAATGCTCTAGGCGAAGACGGGGATACTCTATTGGACTGGGTAGAAAGTAAAGCGATCCACGTATAATTGTAATAATCAAATGAGAATATCATATTATTGTTATCATTTTCACCTATACTAATTTTAAGATAGTTTGTAAAAGGGAGAGTCCTATGATTCTATTTCTTTGAAGTGGTATTTTTTAAGATCACGGTATCCTAGAGGTGTTTATATTGAGAATAGATAATTTTAAATTAATTATTATCTCTAGAACCTCTTCAAAGTTTTGTGGGGAAGGCAAAGCCCTGATCCTAGCTTATGTACCCTCAGAAGAACACTCTGCCAAGAAGAAATCTCCTATATCGCTGGAGTTGAAGTGACAGCCCGCTCCAGTAAAGCTGACTTAACTCTCCCAAGGTTGTAGACCTTCGCAGCGCGAATACCAGAAAAAGAACCAGAAAAGAACAGCGCGAGGGGGAGTTCGAGGGAGGGACTTCGGGGGATATGGAGGAGTAGGAAGAACAAAAACGAAATGATAAAGTATTCCAAAGGCCAGGGCAGACACACACAAAAATTGACGTAACTTATTCGCATTTATATCACTCCTCTCATCGGGAGAACCTCCGATACAATGCCGCCGAGGCATCGGACATGGCCAGAGATTCAGATACAGATACCATCATCAGTGTCGGCTCACGCAACCACCATAAACAACAACTACGGGCTGGCGCGTCAAAATTAATACGTTTTTAAATGCCAAAGCCACGCAGCTTCCTGTAGAGAAAGAGGAAGACAGAGAGCGGGAGAGACCGGGGCTCCATAACCCATACTCCATAGCCCACACCCCACAACCCAGAGCTCAAAGATCCAAAGATCTTCAAGTCCCCAGTAGAGTTGGCCCAGCTACGAAGATCCCAAAGTCTTACGCACATGCGTGTAATTGTTTTTATTCTGCCCGACTCCGGTTTCTGAAGACCATCATATTTTGGAGGAGGACGATCGAAGAGTTACGCAGAGAATAAAATAAAAATATTATAGTTGAAATTGTGTTTTAGTTTAAAAAAATATATATTAAGTTTATTCCCTTGTATTACGTGGACTTTTGTTGATACTAAAATATAATTGTTGAATACTTTAAACGAATAACTTTTAAAATGAAATTTTAACTTAGTCATAATAGTTTTATAAAACTCAAAGATCTTTAAATAGTAAAGATCGTACACTTTACCACTTTTTAAAAAGCTGTTTATAGATTTATACAATAAACTTTTTAAAGTTATCAAGGAATATCTAATGATAAATATAAAAATCATTGATAATGAAGTTTTCACAAGTTACAAGCCAGGAATTTTTGGTTTGATAGAAATTTTCTGTTAAATGTTCCAGTACTTCAATACTTTAGATAAGTGTTTTAAGTGGTTTATTAACTTTACAAGTGGTATTCACTCCATAAACTCTTCTGTACACCCTCGTAAATTAATGATGACTCGACCAGAGAACCCAAACCGAACCCTTTACGGAAAAGAAAAACCGAAATGTAAATTGAATTTTAAAAGGCAATTTAACGTGCGCGTTGGCCGACTGTGGCCATAATTAAAAATTATCTTCAATTTAACACTCGACAGGGCAGAAATGCTTCAATTCCTGATCTACGCAATTTATTCATTATTTTTTCCCTGTCATTGTTGTGCTTTAAATGGTATACATTCTTTGTAACCAACCGGAGCCCGAAAGCAAATATGAGTTATGTATAGCATTTGGAATTATGGCAATCCGATTCCCGTGTTGATTTATTGGCATTTGAGATAAGCGAGCAAATTGCATTAAAATTAATGCCAAATTAATTAGCTGCAAAAGGATAAGAAGGGAGAGGAAGGGGCGGTTCGGTTTTACTGAAATTTCATTCAGAGCATTCCGCCCACAACTGCTGCATTTAGTGGATTTTAATTGCATTTCTGTTCCGGCATTCAAGTGGAAAATATTTTTGGTCCAGCTGAGTCGAATCTCAATTGGGGATTACCGCAGGATTACGGTGGAGGAAAAGGCATTTTTAGAAAAGAATAGAAGAAAAGTTGTGCTTGCAAAATGTTTAAGCACTTATTCAATTTCCAAATTCATAGAAACTTTGTATTAAATTATACGGAAATATATTGTTTTTCTGGTGTGAATTTTATAAGCCCTCGTACGTTTTTTCTCCACGACAGCCAATCGAAAAATGCATTTTAATCTCGTCTCTCAATTATAACTTTGTTTTGCTATGCGAACAGTTTCCAATTTACATAAATCAAGTTGATTCGACCTAAGCCAACCAATGCCCACGTGCATCATTTGTGCACATATTTTCATCTATGCATTCATTGGTACAGTGCGTTTCGATGCAGTAAGGTGGTTTGTGGAAAATTCCCAAATTGTTCGCACTTATAGATATTTTTAAATTTGGATAAACACTTATTGCGAAATTGGTTTGTTTTGATGCAGATAAGGAATTTTTACGTATTTCCTAAGTGAACTAAGCACCCTCCCATCGACTTATATTTATGTTCCGCACTCGCCGTGCCGCATCGACAGCTGGCGATAAATGTTGTGAATAAAATTTTACGCCTTTTTTATGATTAATTCGCTGTCATTTAATTGCCACAAAATGCGACAAAAACAGATAAAATGCCAACAAAAATTGTCAAACAAAAATATTGTTCGAAGCTACATTTGCATATTTGGCAAAAACTTTGCCCAATTGGCTTTTGAATATTCGAGAGTTGGCCAAAACATAAAAACGATAAAACCGCAGTCACAGAAATAATAATAATAAAGAGTGGAGCGAGTTTATGCAAATGCTACACGCGTTTGTTGATATTTGTTTGGGGAGTTTCGGGGGCCCGCCTTCAAAGTGGGTTTAAAACGGCCAGCATCATCATTTAGTTAGTGAAGTCGTAAAATCCCCAGACTTTAATTGATTTATACCACTCGAGCATGCCGGGCACGTTCCGTCGGGCTGCCATGTCGTATGGGTAATATTTACCGAGCTGCAGGTGAGTGAGTGTGAGGGTGTAAATATAAACGATTAAATAATTGAAAGATGCTGATTAGATGGCATTACACCCGAGATATGTGCGTTTAGTTGATGGGGAACCCATGGGGAAGCAAATGAGATGCAAAACAATTCAATTTAATTGCAAATTTAAATGGAAATTTTGCCAAATTTGCTTAAAGGCCCCCAGAGAATAACAGTGGGAGTAAAATACTGTAATTAATCGCAGTTCAGAGATAATTATCTTGTTGTTAGTATGATAATACGGCTGAAACTCACTTTGCTTGGTTCCTTGTTTTCCTCACTTTGAAATTGTCTCTCTCTCAATCTGTTTTGACTGTTTCCACTTGATGAACGTAAATTGTAATTAATAATGCAAACTATCGACACAAAAACGAAACCGGCTTCAAAGTAAAAGACACGAATATTCAATAAAACACATCAATATTTATAAGCGAAATTTCCATATTTTTGGTTACACACTTTCATTCAAAAAACACATTCACAAATTTACGGAAATTATAAACCAATTTAAATGGTTTCGATTGGAAAATAAATCCTTGTATGTGGAAAATACTGCAAAAATAAGAAAAATAAAAAAAGATTAAATTAAGAGTTGTAAATTAGATGAAGTACGATTAATTATTAGAGGAAATGACAAATTTGATAACAAGATTCAAAGTGGGTAAAAAAGAAAATTAGTATATTAAAATCCTAGCAACAAAAAAAGGTTTAACTTGCGTAAAAAATAAACATCAATTCCAAGAAACAGGAAGAACTACACAAATTACTATAACGTAATGAAATAAATAATACACGATCTAAGCTAAATCACTTAGAAACCTGAATCTTATAAATTATGAAAAAATCTGCCGGCAAGCAAATGTCTGCAAATTTTCCTTTCTACTTGGCCAACTCCCCGGCCCCTCCTGGCCACCCATTTTGGCTGGATTCCGGGGGGATTAAGCCTTATCTAGGGCTAGAGAGAGTGTGCAGGGGGACAGTGGCTACTAAAACTGTCTCAAGTTAATCGCTTTTATTTATTTTCGCCCTGTGCCGAGCGAAAAAAGCCAAACTCACGCACACACACCCAGCGACTGGGGAACCTTAACTGCAACCGGTTTTTCCACTCGCACACACAGGGACTTTTTCTTCTCAATTTTTTTTTGCTTTTTTGCGCGCTTTTAGCTATTTTCTTCTTTTTAATATAAACTTTTTTCGTTTGTTTGCTGTTGAAGAATTTATGAAAATCATAAAACAAAAGCGAATTTCATTCCACATGTGCATCGGTGTGTGTGTGCCTAGTCTGGGCTTAGTGCGGTGCGTGTGTGTTGGTGAGCGCTTAGGTTGCAGTTGCAACAGATAGACACCACAAGCGCAAGTACAAGCTTTCATGTCTAGCCAGGTAGCTGGGTAGCTGGGTAGCTGCTCTTGGCCAGGTTAACACGCCAGGCCTGGCGACGTCATAAAGTCAGCTGCCGCTTCTGTTTTCTTTTGTTGTGACTTGCAGCCAGCCTTTTGTTGCCAGTTGTTGCTGCCGCCGCTGCTGCTGCTGCTGCTAGATGTTGCTGCTGCAGCAGCAACTATTCGGTTGACAGAGGCTGCCAGCCAGCTTTCAAGGCTGTTTAGAAGGCAGCCACAGCCACACTCACACACACACTCGGCTTCGGCCACACTGGCTTTAATTTCTCCAGTCATTAGGTTCTTTGATTTTGAGTTCCTCAAAATCTCCCACTTAATATATGTACTATATTTCGAAAACAGGCTACCGTTTATAATCAATTCAGCCAGTTTGTTTTGCTTTCTGTTGCTGGGTTCAAATTACCGTTTTCAATGTGCGGGAGTAAAACGTGTTTTGATTTCTTGCTGCTTCTTTGGGTTTTCAGTTTTCTAAAGCGCGGACACGAACTGAGAGATTCGAATTGGGAAGACCAACACGCAGAGAAACGCAGTGTCGCAGGCGACTTTTTCGACTTTTTCGTTTCGAAGCCAAAGCTCAACTGAAATGCCAAACAAAACGCTCGCCACTGAAGCGCTGTTGGCCAACAAGAAGAGGAAGAGCTGGCCACGAACTGGTTTTCGTGCATCGCCGGCATGGCCCGAAGTCGAAGGCTTCGGCTTATAGACCCCCCTCCGCCCCGTTTTCCCCCCAGCTGTTGCTCTTCCGAGCCCCATTTAGTAGTAGAAAATAGTAGTAGATTTGGTAACAAACGCCAAAAGTGGCCAAGAGCCAAACAAATCCAAGGCAATTCATTTGTGGCCACAGCCAAACAAATGAAGGCAATTAGCTCCGAAAACTCCGAATTCTTTTTTAAATCCCTTCAAGTGACTTGGCCTTTTTGAAGCCTCTCTTTGGCTTTTGGCCCGCTCTCTTAGCTGAAAAACTCGCCGCTCTTCGGCGGAAGTAAAACTGCATCAGCCGGTTTGTTTACCTTTTTTACGTGTCATACTGTTATACCGGCAAAACAGCTGGCTGCCAAGCACTTGGCTAACACACACACACACCCGGCCAACTTCCGTGGTCGATTGTGTGTTGTTTTTCACCAGTTAGTGGGTGGTTGCCATGGCGTGTTGATAAATAAGCAAATAAATAAATAAACAGTTTCAAGTGTCTGCCCAAATTGAGTCGAATTTTCACTCTTCACGACTGCTGTGGCTGGCGGGGAAATAAATCGAAATACTTTTCCCCGATTGATGGCTTCATCAAGTGCAATTGCAACAATTAGCCAAAGTTTCGGCACTTGGCTTGATTGGTTCCCGAGCATTTAAAAGTATATTGGCATACTATTTGTCAAAGAATTCGAATTGCAGGGACATTTATAGGTCGAACAATGTTAAGACTATTATTTTCAGGATAGTGAAAAATAGTTCTGTGAAAAGTAAGTTACAGCTCTTAAAGTACAACGACAGATCTTATAAATAATACAAATTCAACGTACTTATAGACGTTAAAAAATTTAAAAATTACAGATAAAATAAAAGAATAATACAAATAATAATACAAATAATACATAGATACATAATTACAAGTTTAGAGTTCCGTTAATAATATTAATTATTATAATATTCTTTGCTTATGATTAAAATACAATTTTAGGTATTTAAGGCTGTTATAGAAATGTTATAACATTTCTTATCAAACGTATAGTTATACAAACATTATTCCATTTGTCTTAATCAAACAACTATGGTATGTATTTGTGTTTTATCGCTTTTGAGTTTAGAGTTCTTTAATAATACCTAAATATTTTCAATATCCCTTGCTAATGATCAAAATATATGATTTCGGGTAGAGTGGTGGGACGATTACTGTGTAAATGGTGCGTAAACAAAAATAACTCCATTGGGATTAATCAACAATTATGGTATGTATTTAGGTTAAATCGTTTATTGAGTTTGGAGTTCTTTAATAATATATACTTACAATATTCTTTGCTGATGATAAAAATATAATTTCGGTTAGTGTGGTAGGGAGTATATTGTATAAACGGTGCGTAAACAAAAATAATTCCATTGGGATTACCCAACAACTATGGTATGTATTTAGGTTAAATCGCTTATTGCGTTTAGAGTTCTTAAATAATATGTACTTACAATATTCTTTGCCAATGATAAAAATATAATTTCGGTTAGTATGGTGGTAATGGCTATTGTAAAAACGGTGCGTAAACAAAAATAATTCCGTTGGGATTAATCGACAACTATGGTATGTAATTGGGTTAAACCGTTTATTGACGGTAAATAGCTTAATTAATTCGACGTCCCTGGGCGAAGAATTCCAGCGGGAGTTAAACTAAATATATGGGTTACGTAATGTGTCTTATCTTGAGTAAACTCACATAAAAGCGATTCAGCCAAACACATTTAATTGAATCGCTTAAGCCAAGACAAGCGTTGGCCTGACCCAGTGGAATTGTGGCAGATAAACATATCTCCCCTTGCTTTCAAATCGCTGGCCTCAATTATTTTCACAAATTGTAATTACTTCATCGAAACAATTGAATTGTTTTCCGGCTTCTGTTCGCCGCAACCCCACTCCCTCGCCCACTTAAAGCTCCACACCCAAAAATAAAAATGGTATTGAACACGGTTCGATTGTGAACCTTTTTCTTAGCCATTTTGGTGGTTTCATAACTTTATTAATTCATTTGTGCATTGTTTCCTTTGATGGCTTTTCCCCTGTTGTTTACGGGTGGCAATTCAAGCGCGACAAAAGACAAGAAGCCGAAGCCAAGCCGTGGCTACCAACCGCGGGATTCAAGTCGGGCCAAAGAAATTCCAATTAATGAAAATGGGAACAGCCCGGGGGAATCAAAGGGGAGCGAAACAGGCAATAAAATTATGCAAACAGCAGGTGTTGGCCATTAGCTGTTCAGCTTTTCCAGTGCTTTGCTGCAGTCGCCAATTTGGGTCATTAGCAGGTGTTGTCATCTCTACCAATTTCCTTTTTTATGGCCAAGTCCCCCCTCCCCCCGTCTTGCCGGCAAAACCACAAACTTCGCCTCGAGCTGTGCGCAACCAATCAAAGTTATTAAAACAAAAGAGGGGCATAAGAATTTCGTATGAATATTTTCTAGGGAGTGGAACACGGGGGCCATTCGAAGTGTAGAAAATTTAATTAACTGCTAAATTAAATACACTTTTCGGCATGCTTTTCGGGTTGTTCCAGCCTTGTTCTTTTGGTTATTTTTCTGGCTTTTTGTTCTCTGTGGTTCCCCAAAGAGTGGCGAACTCCGAACCAGAACGGGCCAAAACCACTCGACGACCGCGACCACCACCCGCAATGGAGCGTCCAGTTTTGGGTGGTTCTTATTGTTGATGTTGCTGCCGTTGCTGTTGCTGCTGTTGCTGTTGCTGTTGCCGCAGTGCGTCGGAAGTTGTCGCCGGCAATCAACAAACCATAACGCACAACAAACAACGGTACTCCAGCCGCCGAGCCAAACTGCCAGCGAAACATTTAACGCCGCTCTGCCCCGCCTTTTCCATCTCTTTCCCCCTTTCGGATTGCATATTGGGATAGAAAGAGAGGTGAATAAAAGAAATTCATTAAAAATTTCTTTACCTCAGCGCTCGACAAATTAGCCCAAGCTTGATAAGTGGCTGGAAGGAAAATAGAATAAGAAAATAATTAAAGCCGCAAATAGGTGCTGAGCCACACAAATTGTTCTAAATGCATAAATTAAAATTTTAAATGTATATCAGTAGGAGATAAAGAAAAGAACAATGCATTAATTTACGCTAAAGATATTGCCTAGTAGTCACAAGTTAACTTTATTATATAATAACTAATAGAAAGATGCGAGAATCTATATTAAAGCAAAAAAATTTATTATGAAAATACTTTACTTGCTTTTTAATTTTATGAATTCAAAACTTGAAAATATTACTAACAAGAAATATTGTTAGCTTCGGCAAGCCGATGTTAATAGGTTATCAAGTTATAAGATACGCTAGTCATACAAATTTCTTGAAATTCATTCGTAATTCTCATATTTTAAAATATGTTATATGTAGCTAAGATAAAAAACGATAAAGAAAATCCAGTTCCAGTTATTTTATTCATTGTTTCTAGGACAGCTGAATGATATAGTCGACGCAATCAAAATTCAGAAATACTTAAACATGTTTCATACTTAAAAATGTTTCAGCTTTAAAATGGAAAAACTAGTTCGCTTAGAAACGGACATACGGACGGACGGACAGACGGATTCGTCTAGCCTCTTCAAGGGTAGAAAAACAGAACAAATAACTTAATATAATCAATACAAATTCAAAATCAATAAAAAACAAAACTTTAACTATTTTAAGCCTAACAAAAATAAATCCAAATATACTATGCCAAATACATGAGGGAGACAAAAGGACCTCCATTTTAATAACCAACAAAACGGCATAAAATTAAAACCATTTAGTCCAGGACATTTGGCAATATCGAAATTATCGATCGTAATGAATAGTTTTAGTTCGTTTTAAATCGTCCATTGTTTTCGTTTATCAATTTCCCGGCCATAAGCTGTCAATTTTATGGCCAAAAGCGGCGCTTCTCTTTATGAGTTTCAACACCCATTCCCCAAACATTTCCCCCGTCGGTCGAACGCACTAAAAGTAAATTTATGTTGATGATTTTGTGTGCGGCGGCCTATTGCCATAGTCAGAGTCGGAGTTTCGGAGTTTCGCAGTTTCGTAGCCAAAGTCATGGACATGGACTTTTGCTGGCGGCGCACGCAGACGAGAGCCTCAAATTGGAGTTGGGATCTCTGAAGTTGGGAGCTTCGATATATATATATACACAGAGGTCCCGAGGCAGACAATGCAGCTCGGACCGCGGTCATTGGACTGCTGCCCACCCAAAAAGGCGGCACTAAATTGCTTTGAAATGCCGTTAGAACAATAATTGCGCGCACACCATACTGCCAACATATGATTGGAGCGTGGAGATAGAAAAGCCTTTGCCAATTTATTGAGTTGTAAAATTTGGCGGACGGCGGCGTGGAAAACGACCGCGTGCAATGTGCAGCATATTAAAAATAAATAAATTAAAAGATGTAAGCCAGACGGAGGCTGCGCTCATTAGAAGCCGGCAGTTGGAGGCAGCAGATGGAGTCGAGTCGGCAGAAAATAACGAAAACCGAGGTTTCGACCCACTCCAGACTAATTGCCCAGCATAACTGGGCAGGGGGATTCCCACGAAACCCAGCCGATTCTAAATTAAGCTGAAAAAATATTCGGATAATATGATTTGTAGTGAAATACTATAAAATAAGTACATATAATATATTATAATAATCTAATCCAATATATTATAATAATATGTTATATATCATTTCTAAATGAAATAAATGAATGACTTACACTTAAATATGTTATCGAAACTGTTTAAATCAACTAACAACCGTTCTGAGGATATTATTACATTGGAAAGACATCCTTTGAAATAATTTCATTGACTAAGTAATAAAGATATCTTCAGTTTGTATAGAGTTCATTCA